TAAACCTCAGACCTTTGGATTCCTCATGGAGACTGAGTCCACATGAGGAATTAAACCTCAGACCTTTGGATTCCTCATGGAGACTCTGAATTTTTTCTTTGTCCCACACTCCTGACAAGGCAAAAACATCTTTCTTAGTTTTTTAACAGAACTAAATAATTACCATCTTCCTATTCTATTTAAAAAAAAGGTATTCTGTAATGGGCCTTGCTCACCATAGACTCTCAATGTAGAGTCGCTATGGCTGAGGTTTGGAACTCATTATCTTCAAGAAATTGAAACTTTGTTTCTGCTTTTTTTTATCTCAGGGTTTTAATTTTCACTCACAATTTGTATTTTGAAGTGTGAGGGATAAATGAAAAATATGTAAGTCTATCTAAAAAGAGATATAGTAGTTTATTAAACTTGTTGGAATGTACAGATTTCCTTTCCATAATATATTACATCTTTATCAACACTCAGTTTAAGTCACATGTGTTACACCTTTGAGGTCTGATAAAATACAAGTCTGTACAAAAATTGAAAAATCTCATACTCTGTCCTAATCATTTAGTACTATCTACTATTGTTAACTACTCCAGCTGTAAAATAGAGCTTGCCAACACACTAGACTAACGTCCTAAAAATTGTTTGCTTTTATCATGATGAAAACTATATTCCTAAATTTTACATCTCAATTTCTACAAAAATTAAAAATATAGAGGTGAAATCTAAAACATTTCTCAAACATGAGATAATGAAAGTAACTGATGCAGCATAGGTGGGTGTACAATCAACATATGTGCATAAAAAATTCAAAAGGGGAATTTAGTAACACGTGGAGCTTTAAGGTGGGCTATGTCCAATAGCAACACTTTGTGATCCTGACCATTCTACTGGCTTGGGAATTCCACACTCTAGACCACTGCCAGTTCCCTTTAAAACAATAAAACCTATGACTATTAAATACATCATGGCAATGTTTGGAACCCAATTTTTTTTTTCGGTATACCCAGTCATGTTTCTAAATCTCTCTTGTGAAACCAAGCATCAAGTAGATCGTCTGTTTGATTAGTACATGACAGAGATCAATGAACTGACATGTCACTGGCATTTTGTTTTTGGAAGTGGCCATATGAAAGGGGTGAAATTAAGAGGGATTCTACTGATTGGGACTTTAAAATGTGGACGTTGGGCATATTTACAGGTGACCGCATACGAGGTTTTTCGTTGGGCCATAAAAAAGTGGCTGTAATAATGAGGTGGCCATAATAACGAGGTGGCCATAAGGGGTTTCCACTGAACATGTAATAAATTATTAGGCAGACAAGTCTTCGCTTGTAGTTGTTGCTTAAATAAATAAGTTTGCCTTTTCCGCGCTTTGGCCTTACCCCAGTGGTGAATTTGTTGAGAAAACTTCCAGGAACAAGTCCACGCTCACCATTAATTTCAGCGTGATAAAAGCCATCAGCGCGCTAAAGGAGAACAAAGAAATGAAAAGAAAAAAAAAGTTTAAACTCGATGAAGATTTTTTTATAAATTTCTCAGTTTCACCAGGAATTTTATTCAATTTCAATTGAGCTAATTGCGCAGGTTGCTTTGGGCTTTCGATGTTTCGGCTTTCATTACCTTTTTATCATAGGTATCTGCTAACACCCTTTGGAGGAGGACATGGGGGTTCTGAATACCGTAAACAACATAGAACAAACACCGCATCATCCCAAGAAATATTATCAACACATCAACAATGCGATATAGTCTAAGGGCCTGTTTACATGGGGGTGGGGGACCTTGGGTAGGTTAAGTAACCCATCTAGGTGGGGTAACCCGCCTGTCCATACAATTTCTTTTTTCATCGTGATCACGTTACATGATAGGTGGGGTGACCCACCTAGGTGAGTTGCCCGGTCTGCCAGATAGGGTAACCCTGTCAGCTGAGGTGACAATTTTCCATTTAAATGCCCCAAGGTGGGGTAACCCTGGCAAAAAGTTCGAAAGCAAAACATGTATGTTTTAAAACTTTGTACATTTCCTAGCCGTCCCATACAAAACTGAACGTTAAAACACCAACACAACAGACACACAGGGAGTGTAAAATGTTCACATTTCAGAATATTTAGTGGTGTAAATCGACCATATTTCGTTTCTCATATTAATTCCTTATAACATATGTCATATTAATTCCTTATAATGTATTAACGGGTTAAAATTATTGACAGTTCCACGCATCACTTTACACCGTGTAACACAACGCGTGGCGCTTTCGTGAATGAGTAAAAGCGCGTCCGCGAATTAATATTTCGTCCTTCTCGATATGTGAGCTTAGCACGCCTGTGCTTAAACTCCCTGACTGCAAGCGCAACAACAACTTCGAGACACTTTACTCCAGCACCACGGGGTTGTAAGATTGCATGTAAACGCAATTCATTTTTCGACCACAGCTGGGGTCCCCCAACTCCATGTAAACAGGCTTTAAGTCTCAGGAATTACCTGGTCTAGTTTTAATCATATTTACCACGCGCTGGTCTTTGGCTGCCCAATAGTGCGTGCGGTAGAGGTCCAGAGGTCAAGTAGAATATTAATGAACACGGCATGGAGTTAATCAGCTTATGTTTACTGAAGATTAACTCGGATGTATTGCTTATTTGGTTCGACAGTTAACCACAGGTTCTCAATTGAGGTCTACTCTTTGAAAAAAGGTTAACGGATAAACTACAACACCGAAAATAATTTATTTCACCGAACACCGTCAGTTTGAAATTACAAACACCATACACCATAACACCGTAATGCCAGTTGTTTTTCACCGCAGTATCGCATTAAAAAAGGGGTCAACACCGCAAACCCCAATGTCCCCCTCCTGAGGGGCTGCAATCTAGCTGCACAAATCATTATTTTTTCTGGTCATACAAGACTTCATGAATATAAAAAGTAGAAGAGCACGTTTTCTCTGTGAAACGTAGAGGGTTATGCAATAAAAAAACTGATAGGCGTACAAGGAACAAAAAATAACATAGTGCGTAATCTTCTGTTGGCAAACGTGTTGTACACAAGTGTATGCCACAATTTCAAGCGGATCATCTGGACTTCGCGATCCTGTTTCTCTCCTTGATAATAAAGGCAACGTCATTCTCGAAATAAAACCGAGAGGGAAACCTTATTGAAACTACCAACAGGAATCTCGCACTGGTAACCACAGTGCTGGCAACAAAGCGACTACAATATTAAATTTATACTGTTCTCCTTTAGAAATATCAACTTCAGTAATGGGAACCAAGAACAGATGCGTTCATCCTATGAGTAAGAGCAACGTATGACTTTGTCTTTGTCAAGAGAAATTGGAGTATTTGTATGTACAGTATAAAGCGGGATCAGGGTCAAAATCCAGTTCCAAATAGGAACAGGCACAACAAAAAGTCAGACATCAAAATAGGAACAGGCACAGCCGATTAGGAACAGGCGCAGCTTATTAGGAACAGGCACAGCCTATTAGGAACAGACACAGCCTATTAGGAACAGGCACAGCTTATTAGGAACAGGCACAGCTTATTAGGAACAGGCACAGCCGATTAGGAACAGGCACAGCTCATTAGGAACAGGCACAGTATAATAGGGACAGGCACAGCCTATTAGGAACAGGCACAGCTTGGCAAAGCGAGGGGCACTGGGCACCAAGTTTCCCAGAAGGCCCTCTGAGAGGCAATTAAAAATGGCTACCAGAATGCAGCAAGTACCGTAAATGCTCGAATTAGCGCCCAGCCTCCAATAAGCACCCCGCTTCGAGTTAGCGCCCCTCCTAAGGCTAAAAATTGGTACTAAGCACCCCCCTTCAAATAAGCGCCCCCCTCCCCCGAGAAAAATGAGTTTCAGTACTCGGTACGATATACCAGACTTATACGGTCCATACAGTTCTTTTAATAAAATGTGACATTTTTAAATAGTATAAATAGTAATGTCCTTTCAAAGTCGCACGGGTTTGCTTCTCATTTCCTTGATAGAAATATCCATGTGAGCACATAGCTGCTTCACTTTATTAATTTCCTCGTAAAACTTTGCTCCCAATAGAAATAAAGATAGTGTCATTTTGAGACTAAAAATTGATAAACAAAGTAAGTGCCCAGCTTCAAATAAGCACCCCCCTTCGAATTAGCGCCCCCCTCTCGCCTAAGAAAATTAAATAAGCGCCCTGGGTGCTAACTCGAGCATTTACGGTAAGTAAATGGCGAAGTATTGATCTCTTCTCCACTCGTGTTTTCCACTATGCTGAGAAGTTGCAAATGTGTAGTAAGCCTGTGCAAGCAAACGGGTTTAATCATTTATCTCTAAACTTTGATGTGTCACTCGCAATTGTTCGCAACAAATTTTAAGAATACATTTGTATAAAAACATAACCTTAGTCAATCTTGTGAAAAGGAAAAAAAATTTCTGTTCGAAAATATAAGATGGATTCTTTAGAATCAAGGCTAGTGAAATCAACCACAAGAAGAACGTTTCAAGAAGTCCTAAGATATGTACAAAGTGAAAATCTAAGTGAAGAATAAGCCGCCTATTTGCAATATAAATGTGAAGGGGCTATCAATATCCTCAACCTGTCATCACTTATTTACAATATCCCAGTGACATTTGTTAATCAAGCTGGAGAGATTTTCTGAGTAAGCACCACATCTTTTCCATCCTAGTCAGAATGTCGAGCCAGATGATTGGTTGATTTCGCTAGCCTCGATTCTTAAGAATCCATCCTATATTTTCGAACAGAAACAATTTTTTTCCTTTTCACAAGATTGACATATTCTTAAAATTCGTTGCCAACAATTGAGAGTGACACATCAAAGTTTAGAGATAAATGATTAAACCTGTTTGCTTGCACAGGCTTACTACACATTTGCAACTTCTCAGCATAGTGGAAAACACGAGTGGAGAAGAGATCAATACTTTGCCATTTACTTACTTGCTGCATTCTGGTAGCTATCTTTAATTGCCTCTCAGAGGACCTTCTGGGAGACTTGGTGCCCAGTGCTCCTCGCTTTGCCAAGCTGTGCCTGTTCCTAATAGGCTGCGCCTGTTCCTAATAGGCTGCGCCTGTTCCTAATAGGCTGCGCCTGTTCCTAATAGGCTGCGCCTGTTCCAAATAGGCTGCGCCTGTTCCTAATAGGCTGCGCCTGTTCCTAATAGGCTGCGCCTGTTCCTAATAGGCTGCGCCTGTTCCTAATAGGCTGCGCCTGTTCCTAATAGGCTGCGCCTGTTCCTAATAGGCTGCGCCTGTTCCTAATAGGCTGCGCCTGTTCCTAATAGGCTGCGCCTGTTCCTAATAGGCTGCGCCTGTTCCTAATAGGCTGCGCCTGTTCCTAATAGGCTGCGCCTGTTCCTAATAGGCTGCGCCTGTTCCTAATAGGCTGCGCCTGTTCCTAATAGGCTGCGCCTGTTCCTAATAGGCTGCGCCTGTTCCTAATAGGCTGCGCCTGTTCCTAATAGGCTGCGCCTGTTCCTAATAGGCTGCGCCTGTTCCTAATAGGCTGCGCCT